ATTCTATGTTATATTCCCTTTCTTTGCAGAGTTTTTAGCATCTGTTGTATTTCTTGTCATTATGTGTCTTGTCATACATCCTTGTCATGCACTCATAATGTAAAAATGAAAAGTGCATAAGTCAGAAGCCATCTGTTTCTCAAACGAATATAAGGACAAATAAAAAGATGAAAGACAGAATCTTAAAATATATTAGCTAAGATGTGCTTACAAGAAGGAAAGGGAAAGTGTGGAAAATGCCAAGCTTCAAGCATTTTAAACTTGATTTGCTCATTAGTTAAGCACTCCAGAAAAATTAAATTATTTTTCATTTCTTGTCATTATTCCAAATTAGACTGGCCAAAGTAAATTACAGTGTTCATTACCGGATTCAGCAGGATCGGATCCCCTTAGCATTAATGGGGAGAACTAAAAAAAAAAAAAAAGATAATTTGTTCAATTCTGTTAGCTAGCCTCAATTTGTTTGTATAGAATATCTTTGAATGTAGAATTTGTCATTGAATTCCAAGCTCCTAACTCTACAATTTGTTCCCCAAAGTCTTTTTTACCACTGTGATGAAAAGGAGTCAAAATGAAGGAACAATTATAGGGCCATTATTGTCTTGATTTTTATAGAAAAGTACTTTTTATTATAAAACGCAACTCTTGCTTTGTTCTTCAAGGACACTTTGTAATACGATGCAGTCATTAAACACTGCAAAGTTTGAAGAGAGGGTCTTCAATCCATTTGGTCCATAGTCAGTCCCTTGGAAGCCACATCTCCTGGGCTGTATTATGAGGTGAGCACCTAAATATATATACATCTTTATATATACATCTTTACATCTTTATATAATGTATAGTGGCATGCATCCTATTGGACTAGAGCAGGGGTAGGCAACCTAAGGCCCGCCGCCGCCACCTCCCACCACCACCGCTGCCCGCCATGATGATATTGATTATTGTTGTTATTACTTGTTCTTGGGGTTTTCTTGGCAAAATCTCCACAGGGGTTTTGCCATGGCTTTTCTGGGGCTGAGAGAGTGTGCATGCATATTTTTATTTTTTAAAAAAATATATATTTTTATTTTTATTTATTTATGGTGCTTTGGCCCCCCAATTGTCTGATGGACAGCAATCCAGCCCCCGCCTCAAAAAGGTTGCCTACCCCTGGACTAGAGTCATTGAATTAGCTGTTGAACAGGGAGTCAACATGTAAGCTGATATCACTGATTGAATGGGTCTACTCTAATTGGGACAAACAGTAGGATTCTGACCTTTATGTTTTTATATAGAGTGCATCTTCACTGATGAATCAGAGCACTTTGATTCCATTTTAACTGCCATAGCTCCAGTCAATGGGATTGTGGGATTTGTAAACTCTTAAAGGATGCCCTTGAACTAGAGAATTCAAGTTCTCTGCCACAGAATTCTAAGCATCCCACAAAACTACCAATTCCAGGATTCCATAGGATGAAGTCATGACAGTTAAAGTGGTATAAAACTGATATAATTGTGTAGTATGGATACATCCCTAGTCCTTTAAAATTTGAGACTCAAATCAATGGTCATCATGTTTTATTTGGAGTATTGTTTGGAGTACACCTTGCCTCTACATAGACTTATTCATAGTTTCAGTGTCACATTATAATGTACCAGCAGGCTTGCCATCTGAGGACTGGAGCCCCTGTGGATCACCCTGCCCCATATCAGCCAATGGCAGCACACAGGCACACAGGTATGCAGAGGTCACGGCCCACTGACTAATATGGGCTTGAGCTCTCACTCAGAGGGGGGTACAGAACCAATCCCCCATGGATGGCAAGAGACCATTTCCTCCAAACAATCTCTAGTTGAAGGGGCATAGTATTTACCCTGGATCATCTCCTTTTGAACGAGACCACTGGAAACTTAGAGGCTATACAGACAGCCCCTAAGGGGTGGTGTCCCACCACCTCTTTCCTTGCTGGATTGGAGCCTCGGCAACTGCACACCGCAGCCCTGATCTGGCACTTTGTTGCTTCAAAAAGAGCTGGCAAATGCCACTACTTTTCGGAGCAGCAAAAAAGCTACCCTTGCTTTGGCAGTGGCGACAGCTTTTCCATGCTCCATTGGCACAGCGTGTCTGTTCGCTGCACCAAGGGAGCACCCTAACACTGCCCACCATGCAGTGGGGTGCACAGTATGACAGCAGCATCGGAGCAGAGTCGGGGCAGCTGGTGTACGGTCGCCATCCCCTGACTCCACCCCCTGGCCAGCCTTTTGGCCGGTCTGTATTCCCCCTTACATTCATTTGGTATTATTTGAATTTATGCACCGATATGGTGTAGTGGTTTGAGAGCTGGACTATGACTCTGAAGATCAAGATCTGAATCCCCACTCAGCCATGGAAACCCATTGGAATTGCACTGGCTGTGAATATTTTCCTGTTCTGAATTCAAGTTGCTGGCAATAACATTTAAAGCTCTAAATGGTTTGAGAAATTGATACTTGAGGGTATTGTAAGATGCACTGAGATCTTCAGATAAAGGGCAGGATATACATATTTTAAAAAATAAATAGAAGCTTAAAATATAACATACAGATATATCTATTGTATTTGAACTTCATGTGTATTTGAAGATGGCCCTGTCTCTTTAAAATGCAAGACATCAAGCAAGTAGGAGAAGGTTTTATCCCCTTCCTCTCCTTTAGACTGCTTTAAAGACACAGCCAGTCCAAGTATGAAACATTGACTCTTCAATGGAAAAAATAATCTGCTGATTTCTGGGAGAGGGAATGGAGAAATGTCTGATACAGATCAGTCTTTCCTGGCTTACAGCAACAGACAAAATGCTTTTTTAAAATTATTTATTTATTTTTTTATTTTAAATCAGCAGGAAATCAGTAAGGAAGGATTTGTTGGGGGTGGCAAGGCCAGGGTACCAATGGAGGACTGAACCTAAGGCTTGAAAGTGAGATAGAGGCTTGCATGCACTTCCAATGTCACCAATTATGCACTTCTGGTGTACAGGACTGCTCCCTAAATTACTTTTTTCACATCCCTCAATTCCATAAATTGCTCTGGTTCTGAGACATGTAAATACCTGTAATGTTAATCAATAATTTTGGTAGTATCCCACTGAGAATATGTATAGCTACTTTTCCCAAGGCTGTAATAGCTGTGGATTCTGGAAAATATAGTTCCAAAAGTAAATGTTCAGACTTCTGCTTTTTTATACTAAGAAAAGAAGGATCATGTTTTTGGCACCGGGCTTCCATGCTGAGACCCTACTAGATGCACCTCTAAGGGGTGCTGGAACTTCAACGGACAAACATGATTGCATTGGATTGAAATTCAACCCTCCTGACCTGCCCGAAATATACTACTTTTCTAAGCATCACCTTTTAAATCTGAGCAACTATTGATCATCAAAGTTTACCAAAAGAGCTTTCCCTCCTCCATCTTGCCTTTGAAAAGATTTAGTCATGAAGTGGAAAGTAGATTTCCCTATTAATGTATCCTTGGAAAATATTAGTCGGATACATTACATAATGCAGATCTGAGCTCTTTGGTACATAGCCAATTACTGCAGGCAGTAGATGGAACCTAATAAACACAGGAGAAAGCCTGACTGGTCACAGTTGGTCCAAATCTTTATGCTTACTATTTTATTACTTTTAATTTTAAAAAAATCCTATAATGCAGGAACAAATTCTTACATATATTCAGTTTTATAACTCCCCTGCCTCGATAACATAAATTTTTTTTGCCATCAAGATTTCACACTTGACATTATAATTTGGGCATTTAGATTCTATTGGTTTAAATGATACAGTGTGCATTTTTATGAAATTTGGCAGCTATGGCAATCACACACATCTAATACAGAACATGTGTCTGGAGAGCTATAGTGCTTAACTTCAAAACTGAACTGCTTGATTGTTCTGCAATGTGCCATGGTATGCAGGGTCCTCCTTCACAGTAAATTCTATCTCCTTTGATAATGAGAAGCATGTTTTTCAATGGCTGACACAGCTTGAGTTGTAAATACTATTTAATATGGCTATACATTAGGGAAGCCAATGCCATTTACAAACGCACCTCTTGAACACGTACAGAAACCTTGAGAGAAACAAAAATGCCATGATAGAACAATAGCATTTTAAGATGGACCTTGGAAACAGAGATCATGGACCTTGGAAACAGAGCCCTGCTGAAATGATCAGAAACCAAGGGTCAGGACCACCAAGACTAGTTGATTCACCCTCCACCCCAGAAGCAGCAACCAGAAGTTGTCCTAATTTAGAGCCATCTTTGCATTAATTAATAGGGTCTTATGGATTTTCCCCTTTCCTTGATATATCAAGTTTGTTCTTCAAACAATTTTTACAATATGGCAGTTACATTGTTAACTGCTTTAGTTGGTGGTATTATTATTTTTCACTCTGTTCTGTATTCTTACTGTTTTGTAAAAACATTCATGCACATGTGAAAAATTAATAATGATCTGTCCACTAGTATTAAGGCTCTACCAGCAGCAGCTTAAAATCAGTTCTGGGATCCCTGTAAGAGTGTAAGGAATTCCAAGAGCCATTTAATTCAACCCCCTCCGTTGCAGAAATCCACCTTGAAAGTACACTTAAACCTTTACTCAAAAACCTTCATACTTTGTTGACTGCAGAGTTCAGCCTTTGGTTTTATATATTGAGCATTAATCTTTATCTTTTTTTAGTCTTTCTCTTTCCTTTATAAAGGAGCACCACCCACAGACCATGG